TTTAACGAATTACATGTCATTTATTTGAATTCAAATTTATTTTAAGGACTCAGTATTTACTAAAAAGATGTAATTTTTTTTAGAAAAAAAAGTTGTTATATGGATTTGAATGTTTGTTTTGAATTCTTAGAATTTTGTGCATTTGCAATGTACCTAAGTTAGTAGCGAGCGAAGCGAGCTTGGTTTGCGGAGCAAACCATATAACATTGCGTAGCAATTTTCGGGGGTTGGCGAGCGTTAGCGAGCAGGGGGTGCAGCCCACTAGTATATAAAAATTTAACGATGGTGTCGTAGTTTTCCATTGTTGCCGACAGATTTTTATTGGCTGGAAAATCACGTGGTAGGATCCAGTTTGCCCACATTCTTTTTTCTTATTGGCTTGGTTGTCATCAGCATGAAATTGATATAAGTTATAAAGTCATTGTTTTCCAATAAATATTTCCCCCTCCGCAGAGGATCAAAGTTGTGATGGCATGTCTTCGGATCATCCTCCGGGATTTTTCCCAGACCGTCGCCAATAGCCCATTGTGCAGCTCTAACGCGACGTAAATTAACAAACAACAACAACAATAAATATTTTTTTTCCTTTATTTACCTTAATCTAATTAATTTACCTTAGCTTCCTTAATAATTAGGTACCTATTAAGTTTTTGATTTTGCTTGATTTCTAAGTAAAGAGTTTAGGAGGATTGTTTTTATTATTATTATTTATTAATAGTAATGTAACGCAACGTTACATTTTAAGAAAAAGTTATTTAAGTCTGTAGCTGATCTTATTTACCGTTTAACAATTATTATTTTTTGATGCAAATTACATTAATATACTATCAAGAATTAGGGTTAAAGTGATTCGTTAAATGAATTAGTATTTAATTTTTAGCTTCATGCACAAAGTGATAAATGTAAAAATTGAATTTAAAAATACATCCGTCCGTTTCGTGAGAAAAAATATTAAATTACAGTCGCGAATTTACCGAATTTCTTGTAACAATATAATTTTAATTTTAAATGTTATTTGCAAAAAGGATTACTTAGAAAAATGTGAATTATGTTTACTTAATAAGTGTCAGAAGGGAAATATTTGGTGGATGTTTTAATACATATATTTTAAGTTCAACTGCTAAGAAAGAGCAATTAAAGCGACAGAGACCACGTAGGATATACATAAAGATACAAAACCCGTGGGAATGTCATGTGATTGGTTGGCATCAGCTTAAAAATTTTATCCCTAACTTAAATTGCTCACAATACTTAGAGCTATAAGCGATAAGCAGAGAGCTCGCCGCACTTAACTATACTCAATACTTATTTATTATCCACTCATAGTATTCATTATGTTTTTGATTTGATTATTATTCAACGCTTCAAACTAGAAGGGGGGGGGTAATTAATTTATTTTTTATTAAAAAGTGCGTAATATTACCTTATTAGGCAACATTTAAACCGGCATCTAAACTTATAAATCGTTTTAAACTTAGTAGACAGCAAATAAGTTATGTTTACTTTTATTACAAGTTTCGAGGAAAACTGTCAACATATGCTATTAAAATAATAAAGGCAAAAATTGTAAAACATTATTTGGAATAAGCACTTTTGCGGAAAAATCTCTTCAACGAAAAACATTGAACTATTAATTAATTCTTAAGTTATCAACAAATAAATGGGAGCATGAAAAGTAAATTTGCATATAAAGTTGCAAATGAGATAAATTATTTTGCTGAAATTTTATTACAAAAGAAGTAGATATTCGGTAACATAATTAACCACTTTCCTGATTATCCCGAGTAAATTCGGACACAGCAGAATTGGTTAATGAATTTACATAGAAAGAAGCATTAAAAAAATGGCGAGAAAAAGTGAAAATAATGCAGATGATTTTTCAGATTATGTAGATGTGAACCTATACAAGGACGAATATTTTTTGTTGTTGTTTTGTTTGCCCGAGATAGTTTGAAATAGTAAACTGAGGGTAAATTAAATATTTTTTTACACGTAAAAAATTAAAATTTCAACTTAGAATTTGCGTATTATGTTTTGCTTTAGTTCCTTGTATTTATTAATGAAATTAAAAAATGTATGTCGATTTTTTGAGTTTTTGTTTTCGAAAAGATTGGTAAAGGAAGTGGTTAAACTCTTTCAATTAAATATTTTTTTTTTTAAATTTTAAGGTATCAATCTATTGAGCGTCAAAAAGAGAGAAAAATGGCGAGCGAGCAAGAGTTGGGAGTAGATTCATGAGTATTATTTGAATAGTAGAGTTTATTGCATCGGATTGTGATCTGCAGTTTACAGTACCTTTAAAAAAACATATCAGGAAAGATGTTTAATGCGTAATCATTTCTAACTCAATGCCAGAAGGAACGCATCGTTCTTTGCGTCGTAACGTTATTTTTAGAGCAAATACTGATAAAATTGTTATTTCTCATTTATTTTGAATCCTGTTTATTAAATCATAAACAAATATATGAAACAATTTTAGAATATGAGTTTTTTGTCATTAAATTATAAATATGGGAATATCAATGCAATAATGTTAGGCAAATTATTATTAACTAGGAGGCTCCGCCCCCAGCTCGCTAACGCTCGCCAACCCCCGAGAATTGCTACCCATTCCTATGTGGTTCACGCCGTGAACCATGGCTCACTGCGCTCTCTCGCCAATGAACACAATGTTCTAGCACAAAGACATAGTATATTATCATCAAAGGCATAGTATTTCATCATTAAAGAGATAGTATTGCACTTATGTAGAAGAATTCTATCAATGTTCTTATTGGCTTTTAAAAAAGTTTATTAGCTATTTAGATTGTACATGGTGAAAAAATCAAAACATTAGCTAAATGAGAAACATATTAGCAAAATAAATTATCAAATATTGCAGTTACTCACCTAAATTCAACTAAATGTGTATAATAAATTAGTTAATGCTAGAAATTCTGAAAGTTTTAGAAAAAAATTTTATTATTTAAAAATATAAACTTTAAACCCTAACTTTTCCTTGTGAGATAATAACCCTCAAAAAGTCTTTCATTTTCAAGAACACAAAAATTTGTTTTATCGCCAAATGAAATATTTTTTGGTGATCAGCATTATTGAAATCAATTTCTATATTAATTAACATTTGTGATAAAGTACATAACATTTTAGAACAAAATAAGGATGTTTTACATACAATAAATTAAAATGCATGGCTGTTAGCATTACCCGAGAAATACCACGTGGAGGTCGCCATGCTGCATTTCTAATCGGGGAGTTTTGATTTTGGCAGTTCCCCTTGCCTACTGCCAATAGAAGTTTCAATTAAATTTTTTCCAAAAAACATTTTTTTCTGCAAAGCTCTAAGAAATTAACACTAAGCATTTAGAATTTCTTTGAAAACACAATTATAGATTTGGCATCTTGGAGCAATTACTGAAAGGCTGTCAAATGACTTAACTCTTGACAGGCCAACATAAAGTTGTCCATGACTAAAAACTTGTTTAGTCAATACTAAACTGATTTTCTCAAAAGTCTGACCTTGTGACTTATTTATAGTCATGGAGAAGGCCAGCCTAATTAATTCCTAATTGAGTTTAAATTAAATATTATCATGTTTTTAGGGCATGAATCTGAATTGAACAACCTGATAATGCTCACTCTGGTTATTGTTTCCGTTTTTAAAAGCGCTATATGTTGAGCCACCTCATGTGACATTTGCCATGTGACATTTTTAGCAGCAATCATTGGTCGATTTTTTAACGTTGCCATTCGGGGAGTTGCAATGAGGCTTTTTTTTTGGTGCCGTATAAGAGAAATATATAGATAGATATTTAGCAAAATTGGTTAAAAATAGAATTTATATGAAGCATGAATGGGAGAATTATTTAATTTTCGATTATTAATTTGAATAAGGAAAAAAATAATATCAGAAAATTTAAAAATACTTTAACGTGAACTTTAATTACTTATTTCTGTAATTTTTCCTTTTATTGTAACGTTATTTAATTTATTATTTGTAACGAAATTGTTCCTTACATTGTAACGTTATTTTAAGTGCAAATACTGATAAAAATTATTATTTCTCACTTATTTTGAATCCTGTTTATTAAATCATAAACAAATATATGAAACATTTGTAGAATGTGAGTTTTTTTTAATTAAATTATAAATATGGGAATATCAATGCAATAATGATAAGTAAATTATTATTAATATTTAGGAAAATTGGTTAAAAATAGAATTTATATGAAGCATGAATGAAAGAATTATTTAATTTTCGATTATCAGTTAGAATAAGGAAGAAAAAAACAATATCAGAAAATTTAAAAATACTTTAATGACTTATTTCTGTAATTTTATTTTATTTGGAAATATTTTTAATGACTTTAAATTAATTGTGAGATGATTTGTTCAGAACTTTTATTATCAACGCCTATTTAACGTATTTTTTTTCTCTCATTGCATTGCGTACTTATCTGCATTTCGTATCAGAATATAAATAACGGAATTTAAAGTTACAACTTCAGCTTTAAATTTACATTTCTCTTTTCCCCATTTCTTTTTCTTTTTTTTTTTTTTTCCTTGACAATTATATTCTGTTCTTATTTTAACTTTCGTCAATTTAAACATACTTTAATGATCTCTGCTTAGAATAAATGAAGATACATGATTTTTGAGTGATCAAAAATAACGTTTGGAATTGGAGGAATAATGAACAACGGAGAAAGGAAGAAATTGAGTTGTGAGCAGTGAAGAAACAGGAGTTTCGGATTCCGATGACGTCACAAAGTTACCTAGGTAACGCCGGGATGAAAACGCGGATGGATGCTGGGGGCTGTTGCAGATGACGGGAGAGCGCATGCGTCACTTTCCCTGTGTGGAATAGAGGTGATCTTCTCCGTTTCCAAATGATAACAAAGATGGCTTCTTCTCGCGGAACCAAAGTCGTGTGGCTGTCATGAAAGAGCCGCCCTTGCATCGGGGGAAGGTCGTCGTCACGTGGCCCCCAGAGTCACCGGTCACCACCAGTGTTGTGTGAGCCAGCCATGAAATGTGCCTGTTGCTGGAAGGTGTTGGCACCACTCCAAAAGTGTGCCGCTTGAGATGGCTTCGGTGGCTGCCTGGCTGCCCTTCGCGAGGGCGGCAGCCATCGGATGGGTGCCCATCGCCAACAGTCCCTTACCCGCACCACCCGTGACTCGAGAAGAAGAACGGAAGAAAGAAGACGAGAAATTTGTGATCAACGTGAGCGGACGTCGCTTTGAGACGTGGCGGAACACCGTCGAGAGGTATCCGGACACGTTGCTCGGTTCGAACGAGCGCGAATTCTTCTACGACGAGGCGTGCAAGGAGTACTTCTTCGACCGCGATCCGGACATCTTCCGTCACATCCTCAACTATTACCGGACGGGTAAGTTGCACTACCCGAAACACGAATGCCTGCTCGCTTACGACGACGAGCTTGCCTTTTTCGGCATCGTGCCGGATGTGATTGGGGATTGCTGCTACGAGGACTACAGGGACAGGAAGAGGGAGAACGCGGAGAGATTGATGGACGACAGGATGTCAGAAGTGGACAATCATTTTGACCTGATACACGCGACCATGCGACAGAAAATGTGGCGAGCCTTCGAGAATCCACACACGGGTACGGCTGCTCTCGTCTTCTACTACGTGACTGGATTCTTCATCGCCGTCTCTGTCATGGCCAATGTGGTGGAGACGCTACCCTGTGCTTTGGACTACGCAACCGGCGAACGCCGATCGTGTGGCTCCAACTATAAGGTGGCTTTCTTCTGCTTGGACACGGCATGTGTCATGATTTTCACAGCTGAGTACCTACTCAGGTTGTACGCTGCCCCCGACCGATGGAAGTTCATGCGAAGTGTGATGTGCATCATTGACGTAGTGGCCATTTTACCCTACTACATCGGTCTGGGCATCAAAGACAACGATGATGTGTCCGGCGCTTTTGTCACCCTCCGTGTTTTTCGCGTCTTCCGAATATTCAAGTTTTCCCGTCATTCGCAGGGTCTTCGCATTCTTGGATACACGTTGAAAAGTTGTGCTTCTGAATTGGGATTTCTTGTTTTCTCGCTGGCCATGGCTATCATTATTTTCGCCACAGTCATGTTCTATGCCGAGAAGAACGTTGAGGGAACCACCTTCACATCCATTCCGGCCGCCTTTTGGTACACAATAGTCACCATGACAACTCTTGGGTGAGTAACACTTTATTTGTCCCATTCTTAGACGCCACTATAAGATTCTCTGCTTTACGAGACATTGTTTACGTTCGTTTTGTTAAATCAGACGATATATAATCAAGTCAGTTAATCAGACGATATATAAATCAGACGATCGTCAATTTGTTAAATCAGACGATATATAATATAAATTGGATAAATATAGAATAATTATTATATTATATGAATATATTATAATAATTAGACCCAATGATTAGACGCACTGTAGTTTTTTAATAACGACATGTTTTGCACGAGTCTGTATGCAATACTTTTATATTTAAACATACATGTGATGGGTTTTTATTCAGGAGACTTCTTATAGACTTCCTATATGTATTTATTTTTAACGTATTGCATTACAATGTTAACCCACTCATACACGAACGTAAACAAGTGCAAACCGGTTTCGTCCGAGTAAAACAGTATCCGCTGATAATCATAATTTTATGTAGAATCTTATACTGAGTTTTGTAATATCGCCAGGAACAGTAGGGGAGAGTGGGGTCAATTGTAACAGGGTACGATTGTAACAGAGCAAAAATTTCAAGTATCGGGTTCTAGATTTGGTTCTTAGGTGGCGCACAAGGTGTATTTAATGAATCTACATGTACACCCCTGCTGGCAACCATTTCTAGGTACTTTTGAAAGAGTTATATCACAAAAGATATTTTTACGCTATGTAAGTAATTTTTTTGGTATTAGAATATTATATTGTAAAAAAGTAATTTTGTTTAAATAAATAAAAATTATTAACCGAATATGTAAGTGGACACCTTAATTAACATTTCAGAAAAAAAAGATTAGTTTAGTTAATTAACTAGCATTGTTTTTAACAAATGAAGCTGAAATGGCGTCTTGGGGACAATTGTAACAATAAGTAAAGGGACGATTGTAACAGCTGAAAATAAATAATCTTATGT